AGAGGAAGATATTTTTACGAGTGATTCAAATAAAATTGAGCAACACAGCATTGGAGCACTAACATCAACTCCAACTACAGAGAAAAACAAGAGAGGGTTGGAGTTAAGTCCAGTTGGAAGAAAAAAATTAAAGCACTCCCTCATAAAGGCCTAATTCCACGGCAGCGAAATGCGAAATAGTTCGCGGGAAACTGATATAACGCATGCGCACCCTTGCCATGAGGCATTTCTTGGCGAAAAATTTCTGTTTCGTCAAAGTTGAAATTGTTTCAACTCTCAAGCGAAAAAAACCAGCAAAACCAATGAAATAACTGCTTTGTAAACAAAATTTAATATGGCGTCTCTGGAAATCAACATGACTAGTCTTTCGGAAGACACAGCTCTATTACTTCATAGCATAAATGCCAACGAAACTCCCGATTTCCATGATGATTTTTGTGAAATACTTATTAGCAAAGTTCAGTCTGCCAATTTTATGGATGAGAGAATCCCCTGATTTCAAACGGTCAGACAAGAAAAGGATTGTCTGGGCAAATTTAGCAAAAAAACTTAATCGCGATGGTGAGTACATGGTTTAGTTTGGTGTGTTTTCTGCCAAGCCTTCAGGTGAAGGTGCACCTTGAACATGCTATAAGTAATAAGAAAGAGTACACAGAAGTTACATATTTCATGCATGTTTTATTTTTCCAAGTTTTTAAGTTCCTACTGTTTACACCAGTGACTTCTATATTTACTAGAGTATGGTGTGGGATGAAATTATGCAAGGCTCTCCTTTACAGATTATGTCATAGGCAGTTCAGGAACTCTGATGTTCAGATTTTGCAACTTGGTGGATACAGTTGAATTTTTTGTGAATTGTACTGCACCACATCTAGTCATCAATTGCATGGTTAAAAATGCAGTTGCCTAAATAATAAAAGATGTTTGTGTTAATTGTGTTCACTAGCTTAATTTCTTAAATTTTTTTATTTAACTTTTTTAGTTAACTTTCTGAAAAACAAGTGGAAAAATCTCTGTGATAGCTTCAAAAAATGTCTTGACAGAGAAAGAGATATGAGCAGGTCAGGTGCAGGTGCTTATAAGGCACCTCGCTGCAGATATTTTAGTCAATTGGCATTCCTTCGGGATACACTAAGTAATCGCACCACCCATAGCAACGTTACCATCCAGTCTGTTGAACCACAACATTCACAACACCAGTCCCCATCCTCGTCTACATCATCAGAACCTATTTCTTGTGCAGAAGGTATTTTAAATCAAAGCTTCCCTAATGTTGAACCTCAGGCAACTATAGTTCATCGTAAAAGGAAAAAAAATGATGACATGGATCCTATTGATCACTACTTAATTAATGCCATAAAAGAAAAAGATCAAGGCAGTGATAAGAAAGAACATGAAGATGAAGATTTCTTTTTTTGTAAAAGTATTGTGGATGTTTTGAGAAAGTTCCCAAGAAAAAAAAGTCTGGAAGTAAAAATTCAACAGATTCTTCTGGAAGAGATGGATGATGAATGAGGGAAATGTGAATATTCACTTTGTTTTGTCTGACAGGTTTATGTTTTGTTTGTAAGTTTTGTTGTGATGTTTTTTATTTTGAAAAAAATTTGAATTCCTTGCATGAATCATGATCATTTCCCATGCAAATTTTAGGGATGACATTAATGTCTTTTAAATAAAGTTATCATGATTTGTGGCAATTATTTACATCAACATCATATGCATGCCATTGCCAAGGGACCTCTCCTTCCTTTGAATTAAAATATTTACAAAATTGCTCTTACTTCTTTAGCATCTTTTGCATAGTTGTTTGAACCAACTCTTGATATTTGACCCAAACCAGTTGTATCAACTACCATATCTCGCCAGTCCCCTCCTTTGAAATGTCCATTGATTTCATGGTCAACAAAACCTAATGGACAGTATCGGTTAGCATATGTCTTTCCATTCATTAGGTAATTATGCAAAGCAACACAAGCTTTGGTAATTGAAATAACTGTGTCAACTTTTGCATGAATTGGACGTCTAAATATTCGGAATCTTGCAGCCAATATTCCAAACGAGTTTTCAATTATACGCCTGGCTCTTGATATGCGATAGTTGGTCACAAGTTTCCTTATGTCCAAATTAGGATTTGCATAAGGCTTCATCAAGTTCTGACATAATGGGAATGCATCATCTCCAAGAAAGACAAATGGAAATAAAACATTTGAACTGTCTATCTGTCTTGGTCTAGGCACTGGCAGGAGATTCTTAAGAATAGAATAGCCAAGATTGCTATTAGAAAATACACCACCATCACTTTGCCTGCCTGCTTCCCCAATATCGACCATTGTAAATTGGTAGTTTCCATTACAAACTGCTAGCAGCACAATTGAGAAAGTTTTTTTATAATTGAAAAACAGTGAACCACTCCTAGCAGGTGCTTGAATGAGTACATGTTTTCCATCAATGCACCCCAAGCAATTAGGAAAATTCCAACGTTTTTCAAACAATTTGGCAATTGCTAATCAATCTTCTGGTGCTTTAGGCATGTTCAAAATATTTTTCTCCAACATTGCTTCCCAAATAGCATTCGATGTTTCGCTGACAATCTTTGATATTGTGGTTTCTCCAATTCTATAACTCATCGATATGGTTGAGAAAGAGTCACCCGTTGCTAAATAGCGCATAGTCACACATAATCTCTCTTCAGGTTTTATAACATCTCTCCGAGTTTCCTGTTGATAAATTTTTGGTGCTATCCAGCTTAAAACCTCTTCCATCTGGCTAGGATCCATCCTGAATTGCTTAAAAAACAACTCATGGTCGTGCAGTTTCAACTCCTATACTAAGTTCACAAATTCCCCTCGTATTGCACGGCTTTTAAAAAGCTTTCTGACCCAAAATCTCTTTTTGTATTTTTTCAAACGTCGTTTTCTTCTTCGGTATATCAAGAGCAGGCAAATTAATTGTTTGCGGCTGAACTCCATATTGCTATATTATTTAAAAGTTGGCGCTCTTTTTCTCATGCGTGGAAATCGAATTACAGGAGAAAATTTCGCAGTAACTAAATTTCGTGCGAACTATTTCGCATTTCGCTGCCGTGGAATTAGGCCTCAAAAAGAAAAACTTCTGTGGATCGAAAAATTGACCTAGAAATATTAAAAATTTTGAAAGCAGATGAAAAGAATGGCAATGCCTGTGGAAACCAAGGCAATTCAGTAGAGGATGATTGTATGGCATATGGTATGAAGATAGCACAAGTTTTGTTTGAGGTGGAATCCAGTTTGACAAATTTTTCACAAGTCCTTGACCAAAAAGACAAAGAATAAATCAACTGTCTTAAAACATTGTTATAAAGTTGAATTTCTTTGTAAATGATTATGTAATTGTAAAGGAGAGCTGTTTTACTGTTTGCACATGTAATATTCTATATATTTGCTTTCAGCTTTGGTTTTAAGAAACAAGACAGGGTTTTTTTCAAACTATATTAACATAAACTACATCTAATTTAATAAAATTTACTTAAAATGTCATTTGCTTTAGAGAAAAAATCTGAGTTTACATTAGCAATAGTTAAACTTGTAAGAATGAAAAATACCCATGCAAAGAGGAAAAGAATGTTGAAAGAATAAATCAAAGTCATTCAAGGTTCCCATTAAAAGATATATGATTTTGCTGCCATGGAACTTCACCCTCTGGTTTTATGAAATACTCTTTAAATTGATCTCGTACTTCTGAGGCATCTTTCTTATAAAAATTTGAGCCTTGTCTCCCAATTGACTTTAAGCCTTGTGCATTCTCCACAGAGGCTCTCCATGAGCCCAATAAAATTTTTCCATTTCTAAAATAAGGGGATAAAGATAATAATTCTCTTGCAAATGAAATCTCTTCTCAAATTTGTCTAAGAAGTCAAGAATATTTCACATCAGTTTGAGTTCATCAAAATTGATTCATTAAAATTTTTGAAATATGGTATTCTTGAAAAAAATTAAGGAATCTAATCATACCTGTCCTCACTGTCCACAAAACCATGGGGTAAATACTGTCTAGAACATGCTGGTTGTTTTGCCTCCGACTTTATCGTGAAATTATGAAGTGCAACTACAGCCATGGTAATCCTCTCAACTTTCATAGGTTTGGCAATAATTTCCCTTCTCAATATTCGAAATCTTGAGGCAGCAATGCCAAATGCATTTTCAACAACTCTTCTGGCCCTGGAAAGGCGATAGTTGAAAATTTGCTCATGTTGTGGTAGAAATTTGCCAGGGTAGGGACGCATCAGATTTTTCATCAATGGAAATGCTTCATCACCAACAAAGACAAAGGGAAAAGTGCTCATTCTATTACTTATGCAGCATGGTTCAGGAAGTTGAAGAGAATTTGACAGCAACCCAATACCTAATTTAGAATTCTGAAACACACCTCCATCACTATGACGACCATTATCGCCAATGTCAACTAATATGAATGAATAGTCTGCTGCAGCAATAGCCATGAGAACAATGCTATGCCAGTGTTTATAATTATACTACAAACTCCCTGATCCTGCTGGTGCTTGTATTTTTATGTGCTTGCCATCAATGGCCCACAACAATTAGGGAAGTTCCATATTCTTTTGAATTCATCAGCTATTTTTAACCACTCATACGGTGAACTGGGAGCTTTCAAATATCCTTTTGACAAAAGAGCATTCCAAATTGCCAAACAGGTATTCGAAATAATTCTGTGTACAGTTGTCACTCCTATTCTATAACTGAAAGACAAACTTCGTGGACTGTCTCCTGATGCTAAATAGCGAAGTGTCAACGCTAATCGTTCTTCTGAACTAATGACATCACGACTTTTATCGCTCTTTTGAATAAGGGAGCCTACAAGGCCATGTAAGTAATCGAATTGATCAGGTGACATCCTAAAATAGTGGAAATAACCTTCGTGGTCTCCATCTCGTAATTCCTTCACTGAAGTGAAAAATTCGCTATGTTGAGATCTCTTTTGGAATATCGGCCTGATCCAAAAACGTTTGCGGTATTTTTCACGCTGCCTTCTTCGACTTCGCAAATAGAGTAAAAGAATTATTTGCTTTCTAGTCAACGGACTCATTCTTCACTCCTTAAGACACGAACAATTGCGAGTTCTCGCAGCGAGCTGCGAGTTAATTCGTGCGATAGGTGGAAATGAGGCTTTAGACTTTGTGAATTGTAAGCTTTCTACTGTTCCTGCCGAACTTACGTGTACTCGGCTACCTTAAAAATGAAATGTACCATCTGGCAATTCTAGAAGTCTTGAGAAAGCTGTAAAATTTGAACACTTGCTTTTTCAAAAGGCTGATGTAAATAAAACCAATAAGCAAACGAACCAAAACTAGGAAGAACTCTTGTTCTGCTGTAATAGATCGTTTTGGTCCTCGATTTTTAATGGACTCAGAGACCATTCTTTCTGAATCTGTGTTGGAGCCAAAATACACTAGCTTATTCACCAATGTACCAAATGATTTAAAAAGAGTATGAAAAGTTTCATAGTCTTGAAGACCAGTGTAAAATCTAAATAGCCGATCATTGTTCTTGAACTGTTCTTTTGAGAACTTGCTGCCCTTCAGGTTTTCTTCTAACTTCTCGCTCAAAGCTATGATATCTGTCTCGCGTTGTTCATTTTCAGCTTTCAATTTACTATTTTCTGACTAATTTACTATTTATGTTTTTCATGGTTTGCCTGGAGCTCTGCGATTACTTTATTTAAATGTTCAATTTGATCGACATTTTCAGAAGTACCATCGCTAACAGTCATGTCTTCACCTTGACAAACATCATTTTCTGCAATTTCCATTTCAGAAAAAAGTCTACTTGCTTTTGACCTTTTTTTTGAAGGCAAATGTGTTCTGTGTCTTGCTTTATTAGTAGAGCGCGGAATCGATGGTGTAGGTCGAGTGACTTTTGGTACTAAAGTCGGTAGTTGATTTGAGTATGTTTAACGTCCCCCAACAAAATGTAATGAACACACTTGATGCCCAACAGTTGGCGAGAAATCCTTCTGTGAAATAAGATTTATCCATTTCTTTTGCAACATCTTTGATTCTTCACTTTTGTAGAAGGACAACCGGGGTTTTGTTGTTGCTGAAACATCCAGGAACACAACATGTAAAGCCACCAGCACCTCCGACGTTATTGATGGCTGATTGCATTTTTCTTAAGCGTGAAATGCTTTGGATTGCATTTTTCTTAAGCGTGAAATGCTTTGGATTGCATTTTTCTTAAGCGTGAAATGCTTTGGATTGCATTTTTCTTAAGCGTGAAATGCTTTGGATTGCATTTGAGATTAACCCATCTATGTTAGGGCAGTGACTTTGATTATTTTATCAGTACTTTGACCACTACTTTGCACCCTTTCCGCCATGTTGTTGTACGAAAACATGGCGGTAATGGCGGATTTTGGTGGTCAAAACTTCCACTTTAAAAATTTTTTTCAATATTCACTCCCTCCTGATTTCTAATACTGTTTGTATGAACGAAAACAATTAAGAAAAAAGAAATTACGATACCGACAGCATATCATGTGAAAATAATGCTTCAGCATTGCGTGAAAAACACAGTACAGACACCCATGACACATCAAAGTAAAGAAAATCGACGGTAGAGAAACGCATATTTTGGATGTAACATTTAAGTTATTTTATGACATTTTAGCCTTTTAAAAGTGAAAATCAAACGGCATTCTTTACTAGACCTGTCAATCTCGTCAAACTTATACATTATTTCATGCTTTTGTGTGTTTGACTGTTTGTAAACATTTTGGTGCACCTATTTTTCTTGCTTCAAATGGATAAATCTGTTAAAAATGCTCCTAAGGGAGCGAGAAAATATTTGCTTCAGTCCTACGACATAAGTCAACTAAAAATTTACCATGGATAAGTATCATAAGTGTATTGTCATTACCTGATAAATCTACTGAAAACTCATAAAGAAAGTATGTTGAACTAGAAGAGCTACAAAAAAGAAAAAAATTCAAAACACTATGACACTGTTGCTTGGTAATTTAAAAATTAAACAAAACTTACCTTAAGTTGAAGTTTGATTTGAATTCTACAAGTCATCAGCGGGGAGTGGAAGAGTTGTACTAGAGAGCATGCATGCATAAGTTAGCCAGATTTCAAAGCCAGCGGAATCCATTGCAAGAGTGGAAGAGTTTGAGGTGGGTAAAATTCAATTTGAATGGTACAACTCTTCCTCCCCGCTGATGACTTGTAGAATTCAAATCAAACTTCAACTTAAGGTAAGTTTCGTTTAATTTTTAAATTCTACTACGTCATCAGCTATGGTCGTGTCAGAGTTGTACGAGATTTCACAGCAAGCAATGGAGTCAGGATGTAATGTGTCTATAAACAAAGTAGTTTGCCTGCAAAAAAGGTTAACCACAGAAAAAGAGATGGTGGCAAATTTTACATACATTGATTATATTTAAAATTTAAATTTTTCCACAATAGATAACGATTTAGCTAATTTCGTTTTGCCGTAAAATGGTGGAACCTAGATTAAAAGTTTTCTTAATAGGGTTATTGTAAAATGTTTGCGAATTTGCTTTAACATAATTGAAAATCACATTTTCTAAGGATTTTGCCACCGATGATTGCTTACGGCTTTTCTTACTATAAGCAAACTAAGAAAGTTTATTTGTAATCTTTATTTATTTTAGGCTTCTGTCTTAAATGAACATCATGACCAACACATTATTGTTTTGTCGTTCTCAAGACATGTAAAAGGCTATACCACTCACTTACACGGCACTCCTGGACCAGCTGCCAAGTTTCTTACTGAGACAGAATATGGAAAAATAACAGAAAAGCTTTTTGACAATTTCATGCGACATAAGTTTATAAAATTGGATGAACTCCATCTAAGGGCGAAAGCGTGTGTTCATTTATGCAACATTCATTTATGAAAATCCATGATCTGGTGGTTCTATTAATCTGTTATTGAATATATTCTAATCCAACCCTTAGACTTACCTGACAATATATTACGCATACACAGGCTTAGCATAGTGATCAGGCATTAAAATTATAACATTTGATAAGTTGTATTTCAGGACCTTTTGCATATTAAGACACACGTGATTACCAGTACAGTACATACACAAAGACTTTCACGTTTCCGTTGATTAGAACAAATATAAATTAAGGTCGAATGGTGAACATTGTATTATTAATTAAATGAAATTCCTAGTTTGTTTTTAACTGTATTGGTATTACTCATGTGATAGTTTTGTATGCAAATGAAAAAACATGTACTAGTTAGAATGTGTAATTATGGATGAAATTTTGCAAATATTGTTTCTTATCAGGATTAAACTGATGTCCTTGGAATGTTAAACACATGCGATAACCATTCCACCACAGAAACTATATGAACAAACGTTTTTTGCTTTCATTGAATAAAAATAAAAATCAAATTAGGAGTTAATGATAATAAGGAACGTCTTCTATCTATATATTGCGAGTGGGGAAGCCAGCAGGAAAATTTGTTCATGCTATGCAAATTTTACATTATCATTGTTCATTTCTTTAGAAAATGATTGTTTCTGCCATCATGAACGCGAAAATATTTGCATAGCAAGACTTTTTCCACCTCTGAGATGGGTTGGATCAAATCGACCGAACTGACTTTAGTTTATATCGTGTGAATAGGGCTTAAATCGTAATACTTGCAATGTCAATCATTTTCGTAAAATTTTCATGTGCATAAGACGACCTGACTTTGTGAGCTGGCTTTGCCATTGTTCGTATTCCATTTCCATGAAAAAGATCCACTTAAGCAACTAATTCTCTCGTAGTAGTGTTGCTGATACAATAAGAAATGATCCTACTGTATTCTACAGCTACTAGTTTGAAAGACTAGCTTTAACTTAATAATCAAAATCCATGTTTGTCGTTCGATGTATTCTGAATTAACTACACTTTCAGTTTCAACCAACAATATAAAAGCATGCAAATACAAAACAATAACAAATACGTAAGAGCCAGCATTTTTGCTGATGCTTACATTTCATAGCGATATAAATTATATGATTTATATCCTTTTTTGTCTTTGAAGCAGAACATCTATTTCAACTTTTATTGTTCATGGTATTGGTTACAGACTTACAGTTTTCAGTATGGAAGAAATGAGCCATAAAAGTGTTGGTCAAACACACGCTAACACATTGGACGAATTTTCCCAGTCAAGTTCTTCAACCTTAGCTGACAACAACTGTGAAATCCCCTACAACACCAACAAAAACCCGAACAATCCCAACGAAAACCCACACAAGGCAAACGTACACCATAACGACAACAGCCAAAACTCCAAAAACGCTAACAAAAACCCTGTTTACAACGGCAAAGAAAACCCAAACAGCGTCGTCAAAAACGCTTGCAACATCAATGAAAAGCCGAACAACGTCAACGAAATTTTTAACCAAACGAAGAAAAACGCTAATGATACAAACGAAAACACAATTATTACAATCGGATGCACTGATGTTTATGACATTGCTGAGACTATCGAGAGTAATGGTAACAATACTAACGAAGAACAACAGTATTTTCAAAAGTTTTGTAGCTACGACAAACCTGATGAAGATGAAGAACCAGTTTCGAAGAGCCCGAAAATTTTAACGTCCACTCAAAGTATTTATCAGAAGAAAGTTAAAACAGGTATTAAATGTTTCTTTATCTTCAGTCTGTAGTATTTATTTGTACCAATGTACTTACTGTTGCAATAACAAATTTTAGTTCGTCATACAAAAGTACAAAAAATGTATAGCGTCTTATAGCTAACATCGACATTTTAGGTGTTCAGAAAAAACAAATTATTTTGTTACAGAAATAGGAATCACACCACTATTAAACGAATCAACAGCAAACTGCAAACATTTAAAGTTTGTGTATTTGCTAAATGCTTTTATTTTATTAATAGCTATGTATGTTACCCTAAAAGAAAAGATATCCTAAGTCTTATTGTATATTGTCTCTCTACAATTTTATAACATTATCTAAAATGTATTTTATATTTTTATCAGGCGAAGGCTCAAAGTTAGTGGTTTTTAATGAAGACAAGATACCTCAAGCTTTATGCACATTATTTTCTATGAAAACTTTGCACAACCGCCCTGTACCAAAAAGTCATGTTGGCATAGTCATTGATTACGTCATGCCAAACTGTAAACTCAAGCCAGTTTGTCCAACAGAGCTTGATGGAGATTTTGTCGAAAAAGGGGCGTTTTACATATGGCCGCTTGAATTGTTGGCATTGAATAATAACTTCCCGAAATAAATTGATAGTTTATGTAAAATAATGTAAATATATCTTCCATATAGTTTTTTTTTATTTTGATTGCTATTCAATTGAATTTTGGTAATGGATTAATTTTATTTTCCCTTGATTGTTTTTAGTCATATACGTTTTGATTTTAGTCTTATAACACGTTTTGATTATAATTCATCATCATCCCGCGGTTTAACAAGGTAAAAAATATGAGTCATATGAGTTTTTGATATGAGTTAACAGATTTTTAAAAAATTATTTTGGGAAATATTTCTGGTGACGAACAACCAAATATTTAATTTTACTGCAGTTGATTGTAAATTGTTTAACAAATGTCGTTACGGGAATGGTCAAATGTCACAACATGCGTAATTAGTTATGGCTTTATATACACTCTCAAATCGTTTAACTTCTCTAACGTAACAAATGTGACAATTTATTCTTGGTAAGAAAGACCGTGTAATGATTAACGTTGTTAAAGGCATTAAAGTTATTATTCTCTTTATTGTTGCATACACCATCACCAGTACATAGCAAAAAAATATTTTTCTTATCGATAGGCGCTCTATTAGTAAACCATGATTTCCTTTGAGTTACAATGGTTTACCTACTTTAACAGTTGTCTATACAGTGGACAGAAAAAAAAAGTGGCCACGACGGCGCGGGTTCAATCCCTTTGGTACACAATGTGTCTGTAAACCTAGCCGGGTTGACCAAAGCCATGTGAGGGAAATTTGGTAGAGGAAATCCTCGGATGGACTGTATCTGCATCTGCAATGTTGCAGCCTTGTCACACTGTGTGTCACGCTGATATCAGCGTTGTAGTTGCGTGAAAGGTACGAGTGATTGTAGTCTGGTCAGCTGCCTTCACTATAATTTAAGTAACCAGGATGTTCCACTTTGTGGAACCCTCATACGTCGAAATAGACGGAGTCCATTAGTGTGTATAGTAAGTGTGTATAGTGTGTATAATGCGTATAGTGTGTAAAGGGCATATAGTGTGTATAGGGTGTATAGTGTGTATAGTGTGTAATGTGTGTATAGTGTGTATAGTGTGTATAATGGATATAGTGTGTATAGTGTGTATAGTGTGTATAGTGTGTAATGTGTGTATAGTGTGTATAGTGTGTAATGTGTGTATAGTGTGTATAGTGCGTATAGTGTGTAATGTGTGTATAGTGTGTATAGTGCGTATAGTGTGTAATTTGTGTATAGTGTATAATGTGTGTATAGTGTGTATAGTGCGTATAGTGTGTATACTGTGTAACGTGTATTGTATTTGAAAATCTTCTACCCAACTTTTCAGCTTTAATGTTCTATATCTTTACCCACTCCCCACAAACCCAACCGTAAAGCACTAACAGCTCAATACAACGAGGAAAAATTGCACTTTAATTTTACACCATGGTTTTTACAACTGATTTATGTGTAACAAGAATAGAACGTTTCAAAAAAAAAATCAACAATAAAAGATAACACTAGACCAAAACAAACGTGTAACCTCGCGCAATGTTGAGATAAAAGAAAAAATCATAATAAGAATATTTAAGGACTTTTCAAAATGCACGTTTCACTTTTTAATATTACAAATGATAATTTATGGCGTTTTCCCCGTTTTTTGCAACAGATCATATCAGTAATGGATAACAATGCTTCCAGTCCCCCAGGAATGATAATTATGACCCGTATTAGCTGCTCTAAGGCAGGGTTTCATGGTTGCACCCACTCATTGTAGCTGGATTCTGTTATCATACAGTACAAATACAAGTTTAATAACAAGTCATTTATCACTAGCAACATTAGCAATCATCGATCTTATCATCAGAACCATTGTCATCAAAAAGATCATCGTCTTCATTGTCGCTGTAGCTTTCAATATCACTCTCATTGCTAACTAAAGTATCCAAAACATCGCGACTGTTAATACAGGAGAAGTGCTTGGATCAAGGTCTAGCTGTTGCTTTGCAAAGTTTATACCCTTGTATCGCAAAGCTATCTCACCCAAAATAACACGTCTTGATTTATGAGACGAAGAAGCATACAAGGATTTCTAAAAATAATAGATTACATGGCATTTGGTTTCTTCCACAAAACATTTTATGTACGCTAAGGTTCCTTCATTATGTTTGTTGCGCACGACTTATTGTTTATTTTCTCCATACATATTCGTGGTGCTTAACGGAAGATTATATGTATATACCTCAGATTCAACTCTTTCATTTGACAAACATTCCTAGTGTCTTTCACTGAAACTCTTTCTACAAAACGTGTTGAAAATTTGAGAAGCTCAAAAAAGCTAAAAAGCTTATGTCTTACAATGATTTGTTTAAAATGAGCACATGGACTCTTTTACAGTACATACGTGACTTTCATTATACATACCTGAGTTTAGACTTTGTTCCATGTCTTTTACTTCCGCTTTCAACTTTGGAATAACGATATCTTTGTAATATCGCAAATAATTACTCATCTCTTGCTTAATAAGAACTAACTCCTCCTCCAGTCTTTCTAAATGTTCGAACTTGTCAACAATTTTACATTTCAGTCGAACAGAAATTTCTATATAAAGATGTTTTATAATATTACGTTTAAGTAACTTTAAGTTCTTACTTAAGGCATGTTGGAATTTACAGAATATGTTTTAGGTACACACCATTGAGAGTCCGGGGAAACATGCCATCAACCAGAGAACACTCGTCGAGTCTTACTGTTTCTTCTTGACCATGCACAACAAACTGTAATACGTTGAATATGCGCATTTTTTTGTCAATGTTTTTCTGATCACTAGACATCTTCTGTCTTATCTTTGTTCTTGCTTTTGCTGAGTCTACAGGCAAAAAGAAACAGGTAAGTATACTAAATAAGAAACAATCTATTTTTGCTTTTAATTTGCAATGATTTCAATATGGATTCTTGCTAACAAATGCACTCCTCTTATGTAGTAATATACGTGTATATGTAAAAACATACTTCCCAATTTTACAACGCTTGCTTTCCTTTGTACTATGGCAAAAGACAACATTTCTAGTTCATTCTTAAGACACTTCAAGGCACTTTCCAAAAATAACTTTTTTCCTCTATCAAGCAGTACATCGGCGGTTATATCACGACAAAGCTTGGCAGTCAGTGATTTAACTCTTTTATGTTTATCCTCAATGGTGGAGTATCTTTGAATTATCTTTTTTGACAGGGCAGAAAGATAGTCTTCAGTCTCAACACACGAGATGTTTACATTTGATGTCAATAAAGAGGTATCGGTTAAAGAGGAGGTCAAAACGTACAATTCCTCTTCTTCGGCTAAATACGTGGAGAAGGAGCTTTCCATTTCTACAGAAACAGAAAAAAATATGATATACTGCACAGTCGTATTAAATTATGCCAGCAAGTAAAACCCGGTTACCTTTTGCAATACGTTGAACTTCACTCTTCCACTGCAAGAAATCAACGTGGTTCGGAGAGATTTACGCCAGAAACCATTTCATCAAGTTCTTTCCTTGTATTTTCTTGAGCTTCTATATACTAAAAAGAAAATAACTTATCAGGATGACGGCTGTTAGTAGCGTTATTTGGCCGCATGTACAAAATAGTTATTGAGAAGCAACCTTTGCATATCTCTTGCAGAGGAGCTGGACAGATCACATATTTTCCGTTTATTCCACGCAAGAGCATGTTCAGTTATGAGTTCTTCTCTTGCTAAAATTGTCAAAAAAGCACATACATAGCATGACACATCAATTGAAAACCATAAAAAATGTTCCAGTAACTTGAGACCAACGTGGACGATAGCTACGTTATATGGATAATCGTTCTATCCAACAAATAAAGTCTACAATATAATTAAACATATTTTATAAACTTATTTTAAGTAACACTTACACTCGGGTAACATGTACTTTGTAGTGTTGGCCAGTCTCGAAAGGTAACTATTAATCTGCTCAACTTCCTCTCCTGTGGAATATGCAGAACCTTTTTGCCACCGTCCTCCCCACAATACCTTAAAATAAGACGAGTTTGGAAATTCTTGTTTATAAGAATTCATTAATGTCTGAGTAGACAATACTGAGAGTGAACATCGATATACATATAAGTACACAGCCAGCATTCATTATAAAAACACATGATACCAGTGTACCTGGCATGTCCAATTATGTGCTTCCATCACAGATAAAGCAGGTTTTATTTCGTGAGAATTTGACTCATCCGACTTTGATGCCTTCACTGCCCTTCCAATATTTACATATGATATCTTGCCAAATGTATTTAACATTGTTTGGAATCATTTTGTGAACATGGATGTAATTAGAGTAGCCATGAATCTCTCCGCGAAAATGTTTATTACTGAGCAATTGCATGCGGCAACCTGCAATTTCCAGTCCTGTTTCGTCTAGACGACTCTTTCGTTTTCCTTTATTTCCAGCGCCAATTACTTTCACCACATTTCCCGTCATCAGAAAAGTTCTGTAACACAAAAGATTCAAATTCGAACTATGATCGTGGAAAAACGAACATTTATATATTGATTCAGAAAAATTTAAACTGTCGATTTTATTATTTATTACAATGAATACAATAGCCAAAGATACAAAACCAAAATAATGAATAAATATCATTATCAAAAGGGTAAGTATTGAGTTATAATGAAAAGAACTTTACTCATGTAATGGTGTATTGTACTGAACTGTACAAAACATTTCAACATCAGTGCAAAGCATGACCTCCAAATTACCCGAACTTGGGGAGTGGAATAAACCTTTCTAATATGCTCTGAAACATGTTCATTCGAAGAAATAAAAGATCTCCATAGTAAGACTGACTTTGTTCTCTATAAAGAGAGAAAACAAGAGTTTACATTATGAAAGGCTCCTTAGAATGTGTAAAATTACAGAGTTTGACATAATACCTTCCTGAATGTTTATATCGGTATAACTTCATGTTGCCATCTACATGACAGGAGTGTTGGTTGGATGAGCAACTAGGACAAAACATCCACTCTTTTCCCTGGGCTTTTCCACCTCATAATTAAAATATTTCCATTCTCGAAAGGCTTTTGTGAACGTTCGTGGATTTATTGATCCAAACTAAAAATTGAAAGAAAGTAGAAATCACATAGAAAAAATTGTAGACTTTTGCCACACATACATATACATTTTTTCATGAATTTGGATGTTTTCCATAACACTAGTGACAATGGTAATTGCTTTACACAAAAAAAACTATGTACAATGCTGAGAGTTTACACTTAGTAATGTGGCATACACACAAAGTATTTATGTACGCACCCTTCCTTTTGAAACACTTATGTCTTCCAATGATCTAATAAAACTGGACTCAGAACAACCTGGCATTCTCTTTTGCATTGTGTTCCACAGCAGAAGTAAATCCTGTGAAAATAACACATTTAAAGACTTTGGATTTGCTGGCCAGTAGCCATTACCAAGAATATCTGCAAGTGTCGGCATCAAGAATGCTGAACAAGAAACACACTTGAATGATGTACTGTTTATGTCAAAGCGACCTAACAATAGAAAAAGATTAATAAACATGATAACTAAAAGACATTATGTACATAGGATGGCAGTTTACTGTATACATGTAACTATTACAGTATGTAAGAAGAATACTACAGTAAATTAATGAGTAAATTATATAGTAGTCCTTCACAACACTGATGAAGAAGGAAATCAAAAATGTTTAAAGATTAATGTCAACAGTTGTCGGTTCAATAAGATTACATTTTATTGGAGCAAACACAAAATTTTGCATGTTCAACATTGCAAGTATAAAATACTTTGTACATTACCTTGTGTTGTACAAATAGTCAGCATGTCCTTACTGGGCACGGAGTGAAAGGTTGATTTTCTAGAGCAGCCATGACAAAACTTTTGGACAGGATGCAAAGAAACATAGCAATCTAAGAAACAAATATAATAAATTTTCATCATTAGACTGGGAGATAAAACCTTTTTTTGTATAAATAATAGAATTATATCACCCCAAATTATATACCTATAAGTAGCTACATATGTAGGTTGATTTTGACATCAGTTAGCATAGTGCATATGACATTTAACATACTTTTACCATATTTACATGACATACCAACTTCAATTATTTGTCCATTTTATCCAATGAATGTGATGGCTGAAGTGGTCTGAAATGATTACCCATCCACCCATGTCTATCATGGAATGGCTTTCTTTCATGAATTTTCCTATCACATTCAACACAGACTGGCCAGTTACTACCACACTGATGACACTTTATCAAGCCTGGAGATTCCCCACAATTGAAGCATGGTGTGCCTTTATCAACTGATTCACATTGGATCAAGGTTTCAATATGGTAGATCTATTATTTTCCCAAAGAGAATGAAGCTCTTCCATGCGATCAGACCATTTCTTGGCATCCTCTTTCTCTGAAGCCAAAAGTCCTCTGCATTCAAATATAAGATTCTCTAGCTCTACAAAACAATAATGACTTATATTGTAAAGAAATTAAAAATTGTTAGCTGAGTGAGCTTGTTGTGGACAATTTCTGATTAAATGAGACGGTATATGATCTAAGACAATTTCAAATAAAGGTGCTCAATATCAAAGTGGATAGAGCTACATACATGCATTTCAACAAATTATTGCAATTATTGATTTCAAATGCAATTATTAGTTTTACCAAAAGCATTTCAAGCATGAGCAATCATTAGACAAATCTATTACATTTAACTTAATATTATACATATACATTGATGCTTACCAATATCAACGTCTGTTTGCTTGTGCTCATCATTTACTTGAAAGTCATCAGCCACAGAGCTATCATACTGCTGGTTATCTAATATAAATTTACAATGCAATTTCTTATACAGTACCTAACTTAAACAACATTGACCTGTAACAGTTTTAGGTACAACCATGCATGGTAATGTAATGACAGTTTACTCAGTTGTCTTTCTGCTTACCCATAAGAAACTAAATAGTCAAATCTGCTAAGGACACTGGACAAAATTGTTTGAGCCATATATGATTTAAAGCAGCAAAATTGTACAGTCAATATTTCAAGTACAAAATTTCATAGCATGATGTAGTTACACATGCATACTACATATTATTTAGCATAAAATTGCAAACAAGAACAACAATCTCAACATACTACTGAAGATAGTAAATTTTAATATAAATACTAAATATTAACATTACCATTTTGCTTAATTGATCCTTGACGGCAGCGGTAAGGCGTGTGGGTCAACCTCTTACAACCAACTTGCACTAAGCGAAAATGAGAAGGCTTTTTCCCCCGACATTTTGATCCTTTTTCTTTCGCCAACAAGGCTAAACCATCATTCAGAACTTTCTCCAGAGTCTCGGATTTCTTCTTTTTACACGCTGTATATCAAGGTAGAATAAATAATAGCTTAATTGTAGTTAAAATTTGCCTAATTTAATACACAATGATTCCATTCCTTTTGAACAGCAATATCTATAATATGGTGAATTCTTACGTTTTAGTCGTTTTTCCGCCATGTTAACTTTTTGCGGGTGCGCAAAACGTATTGAATTTGGATAGTTACGGAGTTTCCCTTGGATTGATGATTATTATCTATTTAAGCCGTTTTGTCAATTGATGCTATTCATCTATTTAAGCTTGAGACTGTGTTGATCCAATCGTGGTGGTCAAATCAGGGTGGGCGACAAAAATTTTATTTCATGAGCCCGCGTCTCTCCGCTGACTTTGACCACCAAAATCCGCCATGTTTTTGACCACGCGGCCGCGCGCTAATAATTTATACTAATTTTGTTGACGTTTCCCCTCCAGTTATTATAGAACTCAATGGAATAAATGGATTTAGAAAGCTTAAATGCCAATGGCAAATGAATACAAGTGTAGAATGCGTAGTTAGACTGGAAAACATTAAACAAGAGTTCAGCAAGAGTATTTGTATTTGGCAAGAGTATTTGTATTTGGCAAGAGTTACATAGTGTTTGCAATAAATTTTTAGAGTTTGGAAGGCCATATTTGGGATTTTAGAAGTAATACATGAAATTTAGAATTGTGATGGGTTTAGCGCACCATATTATACGTGTTTGGTGACATAATACTTGTGTTTGTAATTGGGAACATAATATTCACAAGTTTCATAGATGCATAGTTTTTAGGAGAAATTTTCGATAATTCTGATTTAAGCTTACAGGGGCTGACTTTTGCATATTATAATGGAAGTATTCAAAGTAGAATTATTTGAAAAAAATCTTTAGTAATTTGCGATTGTTCAGAATTTATTTTACCATCGCTTTCCTCTGTTAAATCTTAATCTATAGGCTGTGGACACTCCAGTGACAGTGATATATGATTTTGATTTTCATAGTAATTTGTCTCAGTATTATTTTCCCAATTCGATAATGGTGTTTGTAGAGACACTTGCTCATTTTCTATTTTTTTCTTCTTAAATTTGATTTTTTTTCCAATTAAATTTGATCATTCAATTTGTAGTGTTAGTTGTGAATTTTTTTTCAATAAATTTTTTTATTTTCTCAATAAATATTTCAAAAGCGGTTTTGCTTCTTACATCTTTGAAAAAAAAAAATAAAAACTTTGTATAATTTGTCTGATTCCATTTTCTTGATCAAAAAAAAATTTTTAATGAGTACGACCTTATATAAAATTGAATTTAATGTAAAAAATTGCATTTCCTTTCATTTTTCCCATTTTTGGCATGATTGCCCTTGGTTGTACTTAATACAAGATGATACTAATTTTTGTTTAAATTTAGAACATAACCTTGACTTTCCAATTTGTTTGACATTAGTGACTGTCTAGAAGTTACTCATAAGGATGCTTTGCATTTTTTAAACGTCAATAAAGAACTACTACATGTTTTTAATACCATATAAAACTAAACCAAACCAAACAACATTTGTTTACCGGCCAGTATTAATCCCCGCCAGGGGGGTTGACCGGTCCATGAACTTTTAATACCATATATGGTTACTATTTGTATGATAACCTTGAACGTTTCATATATTCATGCTTAAATGTTTTTTGTTTTTTTGTACAATTTTATAAACTTTTTTAATGATTTGTCTTTTTATACAAAAAAAAGTTTACTTTTTTATATGAAATGCAAAATTCATAACAAATTGATTAATTTTGTTCATATATAAAAGAAATGTTGTTTGAAATCGTATGCATTGAATAACTAATGTATCATAGATTTGTTAAGCTTGTTTTATGTTGTATAATGGAATCAGTAAAATCAAGTCCAAACACATCAAATTGGTGGAAAGAAAACTATTTTATATATGTGCAGGGCGGATCTAGGCCATGGCGAAAGTGGCGAGCCACGGTCAGAATTCTGCCACTTAAGTTTTCCAGGGTTGACTTTTCATCATTAAAATTTTTGCTCAAATACAGCAAAATTCGATCAAAAGCAAAATTAAATGAATATTGTAATTTTTTGTCAAAATTTGTGTTAACAGAACAAAACTTCAAATTAAACGTCTTGTTAAAATAGTATTATCATCCAGTTAAACTCTGAACTGTAAAATCACCGGCGTCTCGTATCTTGCGAATATGCCATGAATATGCGGAATATGTGGAATATGTTCGTAAATTCGAACCTGCAATCTCAGAATGAAATGCCACGGTCAGCGTTCAAAAAATTTCGCAATAGTTGCTAAATATAGTAACCTTCAGCCACGGTGCAGCGTTGCAAGCCAATCACAGGGAACGTTTTGGTCATGTGCGCCACGGTGAATGTATTTCGATTGCGCAATAAATACAAGTCATATGCAATAGCTCGATTCTTGTCGACTTGAAAAAACGCTACTTCTTGTTCTACTCAGCGATTAGGATCAATGGTAACTTCTAAAAAGATCGATGTTCTTGAAAAGCTCGTCCAAATCTTTCAGCAAGAGAACGCTTGCGAAATTATTTCTGGTGAATTGTCTAACAATGTGGTAAAATAATCAACAATGAAAGGCTTCGTCGTATAAATTCTACTGGTGATATTATGCTACGAACTTGTTCATTTTCAAAACTGCTGTTCCCTGAAAGCCAAATTGAAAGATCAGGACCCAATGTCCCTGTTAGGTAAGAATTTACATGTATTGGGGTATTAATTTATATTTTTATTTACTTTTGACATCTTGGCCTGAAATATATGATCAATCCGTTAATTTTCAGCTATTCATATTTAGTGTATCATGTAAAATATATGTCTAAAGCTGTCATTATTTTGCATACTCAGTCTGTCTAATGTACAGCCTAAATAATTTTAATTGTTACTGTCTGTTAAAAAAAATGTTTTACTTCAATATTAGTCAAAGGTAGTCCTTTTTAAAATTTAACCTAATCAATAATGTATTATCCTTGTTTTCCTGCCATTTTATGTTATCCCCTGGTCAAAGAAACTAACATATCATTTTGAATAACTGTTACTTTCTTTTGCGATTTATATAGAATATTGATGCTATAGTAGATGGAATCAATAAGTCGTCTGAATCCTGTTCAACATGCCTAGACTAGTTCCAAATCTTAGACTACCTGCCTGTGACTTTGACTTTATCATGATGTTACCAAATTAACACAAAGACAAAATAACTTTCTCAATTTCAATATTATTAGTCCATCTTTAACAGTATTGGTTACCCTTATTTATTCTAATGTCAGAGTCAGTCTAGCAGATTTGTTACCAGGTATAACTTGGTATAACAAAGCAGCCATTGATACTTAAATACAAATTTTTCTTTAGTAGCCAATAATCAATGCATGTTCAATTCTGTTAAGACTCTCATTGACTTGGATTCCTAAAGTCTCTGTTTGAATGTATTCTATCTCAGTCCTCACTTCACAAAATGCCTTTGCCATGTGTATATCTGATGCAGCTCTAACATAACATAACATGCTTCATCTTTCTCTCACTCCTATGCAACAATCCTGTGATTACAGAAAGGTAATGGAAACTGCATTGATTTTACATCAGACACCACAAGGTAAGAAAAAATTTTTATTCTTCTATCCGAACAGAATTAAAAAAATGGTGATATTAGAATTTTTTTAGATGAGATTATCACTAAAATATTGTTATATTCTACATTAAAAATGCTGAAATTCGCTTTTCCGAGAGTCTAGATTTAAAATTTTCTGGGGGCATGCCCCAGACCCCCTATAGCGTTGCCTCGCGCCGAAGGCCTCAGCTAGTCACAGTGCCACGGTCAGCCCAGAAGCTGGATCCGCCCCTGGTGTGAACATGAAAATGTAAACTCCAAACCTCAAAAAAAAATCAAACAGAAATTAGGGAGTTAAAATAACTGTCTGATTTGCAAAATAAACATAAAGTGTTTGCAAAATGAAATAAATCGACAAGGAATTAAAAGATCTAGGTGGTATTCTCTGGTGGATTATTGTTCGGGTTGAGATGCAGAAATTCATGACTAAGTAAAAAACAACATAGATGTACTGATATGTACTCACTTAACATAAATCTGCCTGTTTACATCCCGAAAAGTTGCAATCAAGAGCTAAAGCCATCAAAAATTCGACATTTATTTTCTATATCCGCCATATTGTTTCGTGAAATTCATTAAATTGCTGGCTCATATTCAAAAGAACGGTGCTAAATAATGATTAAGGTCAATCTTTCTAAGTTAATTTGAAATGATATGTTTAGCTATTAATCTTCCATAGCTGCTTGATGGACAAAAAGACTAAAAAATGAAAAAACAATTCTTGAAATTGAATTGCGAAGGAGTCCTTCATCTTTTTGTGTAAATAATATAACGATAATAAATTGGCACATGAGATTGCGTACTCAGAATCCTTTGATCACCATCTAGCTCCTGCTGTACACACTGCTGAGCAGTGCATTCTTAACAGAACATTTCATTGAAATCGTTTATGAAGTTTTCATGTGTGTCGTCGGCATCATCGTAATCGCTATCATCGCACTCATCCGACTCTTTCATTGGGCTGTCATCTTCAGAGGCGTAGTTACTGCAGTCAGAACAACCGCAAATGTCAGTACATTGCAAACCAGACTTCACGCACGAGCATCGAAGATTCTTGCAACCAGCTTTACACTTGCATGTCACGCACTCAATAAGTGTATCTGGAGCAGATGGTCCAGTCATCCAAAGAATCTCTAACTGACCATTTTTCATATGCCATCGATGGCTCACAGGAGGTTGAACATTAATGTGCGATTGCAAACTATTCTTCCAGATGGCTGCTTGGTAGTTGGCTCTCTTAATGTGCAAAAGCATGCTATCTGCATTCGGGGGAAGGCATTCGTCCGAACACTTGCCAGATGCAAAGAGAGTGTACCTAGGACCGAAAGAAATACAAAGCAAATGCAAAAAAGACAATAGTAGCAAAAATATATTTTTACATTTACCTTGAAGCATTAACTATCGCTGAACTCTTGTCAATAAATAAAGATCTTTACCAAATTGTAGAAAAATTGGACATTGCTCACCATCAGTAAGACAACAAAGTAAAATCATATAGTAGGTAGATTAAGTACAGAACATTATGATGTTACAAAGCAGGTATTGGAATACCTGTAACATATTGGTTTATTTGTTACATTATTTACCGATTGGTGTGAAGGACTTTTC